TTGGTTTCAATCAGTCTCTCCCAAGTTATACAATGAGTATGGCGATATGGTGATCTATGGGATGCTATTTTATATGATTTTCGTGCTTTTTTCAATCAAGATTCTTTAATCAATTTACACAAGCAAGCAAATAGAGCTTTAGTTTTTACTGAGAAATCTGATCCTCAGGAATATGTAACTAGTAAATTGAAACTTTTGAGGAACATTGATCCAAATATGTCGGATAGCCGCAAAGTCGAACAACTGATTAAGGGCCTCCCCTTAAATTACAGTTACAATTTTCTGCAACTGGATTTCGTGATCCTCAACAATTTTTAGAACAATTACGGAAAATTGATGAATTGTTAGGTCCATCCCCCACATCCGGTGGGACCAGCAAGCAAACAATTCCATCCCCCACATCATGTCCTTAGTATTCTTTGTATTTTTACATTGATATGGTTAAGTACTATATACCACTCGTAGATTAATATTAGATTATTGTACGAAAACGCAACCGGAAATAAAACAAAAGAATAGTATTGGACAGTGAAAAATTAGTGACTAATTTGACTAATTAGCACTTTAAATAAAATTGAGTAAAATTTCGATGACACAACTGGTTGTGTAAAATTTATGTTTGTACCCAATTTTCATAACTCGGTCATACGATAGATGTTTAATTTAACCCTATCACAATCATGCCTGTTCACTTTCATTCATATGATTTACATATCATGTTAGTGAACGAAAATGAATTTCGTGCCATTTGAGTGAAAATGAGTGAAGGATTCCGTAATTTCAGATGAATGACTGTATATATACAGTCATTAAAAAATTGCACCATGCAAGCCTTGAGACAGTGGACTAATTTGAGTTACCCAAAAATCTGTGTTCAACCAGTGCTTACTTAATACCTATAAAGAGTCAACTTTTAATAATTGGCAAATCACCGGCTTTCGTCGTCGATTTCGTTGGCAAATTAAAGAATGACAGTTGGTATGTCATGAAGATTTAGAATTATTACTTACTTGTACCCAGCTTGTAAAATTTGAGGCATTAGAGTGGGTTAATGATATCGTTAATACCGTAATTGAGGTTTTTATTACTAATAAGTTATTGGAATAGCATGATAATTGGGACATTAACATTGAATTTTGCATGTGTGGAACATCTGCACCTGATGCCGTTTCGATAAAAACGCTTCTACACGTCATATTAAAAACGAGCTTGTTAAAAGCCTTTTATAATCAGTACCAATGTTACCAATGTTACACGCTAAATAAAGTTGAGTAAAATATGCGATGACACAACTGGTTGTGTAAAATTTACTCAACAAAGGTAAAATTTATCCGAAATTGAGCGAAAATTCTACAACGTTGGATAAATTTTACCTTTGTTGAGTAAATTTTACACAACCAGTTGTGTCATCGCATATTTTACTCAACCTTGAGTAAATTTTAATCAAATTTATTTAGAGTGTGCTGACATGTCACATTTCGTAAAAAATTTCATTTCCCCAGCCAGGCTGATGAGTTTGGTATTCGAAACTTGTTACGTGCGTAGGTATTGAGTTACTCGATATCATGAAATTGAGTATTTGAGTAACTAATTGGAAATAGGAAAGAGGAGGAATTATAAATTTTACGGGTACGAATACTTTTTTGATATTGAAAATTCACTTTTCGGAGAAATGTGAGCAATAGTGCTGCTACGGGCGGATTTAACCTTAAAACGAGAACCGAATCTGAACCTAGATGCGATTATTGGGTTTTGCTCAAATTTTCATGAACATAAGCAAACGCATTTGAAAGTTATAGCTTCCGTCCTGAATGCTATGCTTGGGTTACGAATACTTCTTTTATTAACTATGAATACCGCTTAGTATCATTTTAATACCAGATTTCTAAAAGTGTTCCTTACTTCCAATCCGGTTTCCGCCTTCGCCACGCTTTCACAACGAGAGCTTGGATGATTGAGCTGTGGTTCGTCTCGACGTTCATGGGTGATAAGACGACGTTATCTTGCAGGGTGATGGATAATCGGCGGAAGGACTTGGCCTTGACGACCCCTTCGTCGGGGAGGATCCACTCGGGCAGCTTGATCGAATTTCGGGTGATGTCGGGTTGAGGGGTGTTCAAAAAGGGGACGTCTTTCTCGTCCAGGCGACAAAGTTGAAGGGCGACTTCTTCTAGGGAGGGGCAGTTGTAGACGGTAAGGAGCGTGGAGGGCGCGTCCTCGGCGAGAAGTTGGCCGCTACGCATGAAACCGACCTGGGGAAAAATGAAATTGCTTTACATTCTAAAGTCTCCTTTAATTCTAAAATTCGGCATATCTACATATTTTAATCGGTGCTAATTTTTTATACTCATCCAACGACTAAATTTAGTCAGTAATGCATATTTTGGTGCAGAAATATTAAATTAAACTTTCTTGAATATTTGATTAACATAAACAAGACTATTCCAAACAAAAAGAACACCTTAACCCTAATAATTAATTTTATAATATGCTAAACCTATTTAGTTACATAAAATTTACTTAAGGGACCAGACTAGGAACACCGTTGGTTACGGGGGTGTGGTTTGCCCCCCTAAATTCAAGGCTTTACCGATTTTTCAAAAAATGCTACCAGAGGAAAGCTGGAGCAAAACTACTTAAGATTTTTTCAAAGTAAATTTGAAGTCGATCAGTACGGTGGTACTCGTGGAATTTAGATTATATTGCCCTTCGATTGTGTTTTGTTCAAAAATCAGCAACTTCGTTACCACTCTTCCTACAGCGGTCATCTTGGTCTTAAAATTTTCACAGATAAATTATCTAGGTGCTAATGAGGGTGGATATTGGAAAATTTGTCGAGTTTGACAATTAAAAATTAAAAACTAAAATTTAAGTTAGGCAAAGCGCGATTAATGCCAAATAAAACCCGTCACGACCAAATTTTCCAATATCCACCCTCATTAGCACCTAGATAATTTATCTGTGAAAATTTTAAGACCAAGATGACCGCTGTAGGAAGAGTGGTAACGAAGTTGCTGATTTTTGAACAAAACACAATCGAAGGGCAATATAATCTAAATTCCACGAGTACCACCGTACTGATCGACTTCAAATTTACTTTGAAAAAATCTTAAGTAGTTTTGCTCCAGCTTTCCTCTGGTAGCATTTTTTTGAAAAATCGGCAAAGCCTTGAATTTAGGGGGCAAACCACACCCCCGTAACCAACGGTGTTCCTAGTCTGGTCCCTTAAGTGATTTAAGAACTTGTGAAATCGATTAAAAATTAACAATGAACATAATGTTCTTAATTGTTTTTAATCTCAAACGTTCTTATATGATTTTATGACCTTACCTTATCACATCGATTACACTCTTCGATATAATGCGTTGAAATGACAATTGTGGTGCCACGCGTCCTTGAAATTTCGACCAGGTGCTCCCAGATCCTGTTAAAATAGAATAATACAATTTCATGATTTACTGTATCTTTTACTGGTACTTGATTTTACAAATACCTTTGTCGTAGTAAAGGATCCAGCCCTACAGTAGGCTCTGAAATGGGGTCATCAGTAAGTTGCATATGTATATGTATTATCTTAATCTTAATTATGTATAAGTTGGCTCAAATTATTACCGTCGAGGATGAGCAGGGCAGGATTGTGAATCATGACCACGGCCAAGGACACCCGTGGCTTTTGACCCCCACTAGAAATTCATTGGAAATTGAGGGGTTAGTCTCGTAATTTGACAATAATGGCAAAATTTGAAGAAAATCCGTCAATTGTTACATATTATCTATGTATATCTTGTCGAAATTTTATTAATTTTAAAACCTATTAGTTATTCACTATTGTTCATTGTTGTAATTATTTGCATGTAATGCCGGTCCAAAATTACATGAACAACATACATATGAAAAAATTTTAGAGTGGAGCATTCAAACAGCACCAACTTATTTAAAAGTGGTTTTGTAAAAATGACTTGTAAGTTACATAAAAATAAAAATAAGATGCTGGTAAAGTATTGACTTACCTTAAATTCTGAATGAGAGATGAAATCGGGGGCAAGTCGAGAAATGTGGAGAGAAATTTGATCTTTGTTTCTATAGCTTCGTGTGACATGCCGTAAATCATTCCGAAATGGTGGAGAGCTTCATGAATGGTGTACACTTGTAGAAGAGAGATTTCCTTGGGGGCAAGTTGAAACAGAAAATTTTATTTAATCTCCATTCACAGTGTGAATTTCACACAGTTATATTTTCACTTTAGAAATTGAGAATTCTGAGAGATCAATGCCAGTCTCAGTTTGCCTCGTCAGTTTGTATGTATTCAGCAGAATTTTTGTTACTCCGATGGGAATTTGAGACATAGTTTCTCAGAGTTTCAGAATTTTTGTGCAAGTTGAACTTTATCCGAGGGGAAGATGAGATTTTTCTAAATCTATTTCTAACAAATCTATTTCTTAATGTGTTTACCTGAGGCATGTAGCCACACAAGTGACCCAGGTGATCTTTTCTCTGTTTCCCAAACACCCCAGATAACAGGTCGCTATGAATTCGCTTAGAGAATTCGCAGAGAATATCGCGTAAAAACAGAGAACTCGAATTCCCTCAGATTTCGTTATTATTCTCGTATCGAATTCGCATCGAATTCGGTAATTATTCGTATTTAAATTCGATATTACGCTCATTTCAGAATTCGTAATGAATTAGACTCGAATTCTCAGAGAATTCTTCTATCGAATTCGAAACGACTTCACTATGCATTCCTAAACGAATTCGCTGTTATTGTAGTGAGGAATTCTCCCCGATTTCGATAGGAATTCTTCTTACAGGAATAGGAGACTATAAACTGTTCGCCTTGAATCTCGAATTCGTAAATAATTCTTAGAGAATTCACTGTGATTTCTCTCTTTCACGCTGGTATTGTATTTTAAAGTAATTTTAGCTGCCACATTCAAATCTTTCCTCATGGGAAGGAGACGACTTTTTCAGTTGAGTGCTCGCCACAAAAGAAGACTTGTAAAAAACCCAAGTGAAATTTTCGAGGAAAATTTAAATAGTGACCTAGTCCAGGCCGAAGGGGAAAACATTTATTCAGAACAAGTGTTCGAGGAAGATCTGGAAGAAATTGAAGTCGGAAGTAACACGAGTGAAGTAAGTTCAGCTGAAACAATTAGCTCAGAGAGTGAAGGTGAAATTGATACTTTTGATATAAGACATAGTATCCAAAATTAGTCCAAGATTGAAAAATTGAAATCTGCTGGTGGATCTGAGGTGGCTACCGTGGTCGAGAGCATTCTCAAGAAGCTGATGACCGATGATTTGCAAGCTAAGTATAGTCTTTACGGAGAAAAGGGAAAGAACTCTTTAGTGAAAGTTAAGGGGTTAAGACAACTCATTAAAGGTATTTTAGCATCTAATTAAACAATCTAAAACATTAAAAAATATGTTAATCTCAGATGCGGTAGCAGCTCACCCTAGGACTCCAAATTATCCAGACGAGGGCACAGTTGACGAGGAAATTCAAAAATCCCTTAAGAAAGTCGCAGATAGAGTTGGGAAGCGTATGAGGTACTTATACTATCGCTAATAACTGTTGCAAAAGATTTTAAAAATAACATTAGTATATTTTCAATAGGAAGTGACTTGACTTCGCGGCCAATTTCACTACCCGGTTCATCTGATTATTCAACTTATATTTATTTTAATAAAAAGTTATTTATATTGCATAATATTTAGAAGAAGTAAAATAAACTATAAACGGAATTATGTAACTTCGAAATAAACGAGAAATCGTATCGATTTATTACTTAATTCGCAGTGAATTCGCATAGAAGTCGCATAAAATTCGTGGAGCAGTCGCGTCGAATTCGTTTAGAAATCGTTATGAACTCCTACATGCTCATCGAATTCAAGACGAAATCGCGAAGACTTACCGGCGAAATCGATATACGATTCTCCATCCATTCTCTGTCGAATCGGCGGACATTTCCCTTCGATATCTCCTCGAATTTATCTCGAAAGTTGGAAATTCGAGGCGAATTCGATATCGATATGAAAGCGAATATAATATCGAAACATAAGAGAATTCAGAGCGAATTGTTATCTGGGACTATTAGGTCACCACTATCGAGTTTACGAAGGCCAACGAAACAGGAGAGTAGGGTTGTTTTACTGAAATGTGAAATATTTTAAGATTTTGATTTTCACATTTTTCAAGTTTCTGAAATATCTTTAGTTAAGAATTTCATCTCACCCACAGCCACTCGCTCCAAGAAGACCATAACTGGAAAAAGTACGAGAATAATCACGTAAGAAAATTTATCAGCGAAATGATTCACCAATCTAATTCCATAGTGCAAAAAAATTGATTATGCAATATTCCCAACTTAAAAAAATCTGCAAAATTGCATTTTAATTGTGGGGAAACCAGCCCGAAGTTGCATACATATAATTGCAAATAAGTCATGTAAATTTTGTATTTGTAATTCCAAACAGTTTGACGTGCTAATTGGCATACATAATTTGATTGCATCTTATATGTAAAAGATCCCTGTTTTTCTGCATAATCGCTAGAAACTTACATCTCTCCCCTGGTTACGGTCATGTTGAGATTATTCAGCACAAACTTTCCCTCTGCGTACGCTTTTGTACCGTTTCGTACTGTTAACGCCATTTTTAAAAGTGCTGAATTTCTATTCAGTGTTTTAACTAACTTACTTGATCTCTAAATATTTATTGCAAACTGATAAAATATGTAGCACATATTGCAAGATTTATCTATTATGCATTGCATGCAATCAAGTCGGCGTGTAAATCAATACTGTTCAATCAAAGGTAACATGCAAGTGTACGAGGTAACTGCAATTACATAAGTTTCATGGGCTGCGGAACCTAGGGGACAATGTTCGCACACAAATTTAGATTTCCATATCCTTGCAATATTATTCAACGCGTTGAATTCCGATCCTACAGTAACAATATCCCAATAATAGTTAGGCAGACCTGGCACATGAGGATAAATATGTATGTATGTATCAAGCACAGGCCGTCGCAGTGGCCGCGGAAGCTGTTGGGACATCCGGGTACATTAATACTGTAGGATGGGGGAAGAGGGGTTTATACACATAACATGTGTAGACAGATGATGGGGATATCGAATATTCGTGGGGACATTGTCCCTATGTCCCAACTATTCCACGGCTACCGGGCTGTGGACCAACATGGCAAGATAGGAAATCGAGGTGAAGTCTGGTTTATTAACATTGGAAGAGCTTGTACCCCGTACGAAAATTTCAACGGCTTTCTTGTGAAAATTTGGCCGGATTTTCTCCAGACATATTATAAGTACATATGTATGTGTGTACATATATATGTATGTATGCATGTATACATGTACATGTGTGTATATTTATACTTATGTACATATACACATACATTAACTATGCAGAAACGGTTTTGCAGAGTAGACCCGACAGAAATCTTGTGAAGAATTATACAAGCTTTATCTTTATGTACATCATTGCAACTACCATTTACATATGCAGTGTCCTACACCGTTAAAAATCTGGTATAGTCATACATGCACACATGTACATATTTCTCGGTATTAGAGTTGCCACCGTCTGGTATTAAAATTATATCAATCTGTAACTTTAATACCGAGCTACTTCATAATAAGTCATAAATATATGAATACTGTTTAACACCGGATTTCTAAGAGTGTACACACGATTTTCTTGCACATATATATATTATTAAACCTATGTATACATAGTTATGGTACACCATAGCGTCCCCTCGGTTCCGCAGCCAGTTCTGATGCTGATCCCACAGGGAAAAGTCTTCGTGATTGCGTTTGTGTAAGCCGCTAGGACATGTACGTACAAATAAATAAATATGTAGTTATTTATCGACACACTCACCTTTGCCTAATTTCGACCAAGAACTTGCCTGACTGGAATCTCACCTACTTAAATATGTACGTAACTCCAACTGCTGTATGGAAGGTTAGGGTTACATGGTTCCATGGTTCCGCGATTAAAGTAACTTCACCTCCAGCAATAATTAGTTGAGGTGAACGTGAAGATTATATATTATTACATGACGAATTCAAATTCATCATGAAATCATGTACGTACGTATTGCTATTTGTATATTTATGTACATGCATGCGTGTATGTACATATCGATATGTAAGTTGGGTTCAGTGCCCGCGGAAGTGTTGGGACAGATGCGCAATGCCTCTACGGTTGGTCGATGTCCACATCGTCTGCTAATGCAATATAAACCCCTCTCTCCCCTATCCTACAATGCTAAGGTCCCACAATGTTTAACAAACATTCATGACCTCCCCTCGCCTTAAAGCAATATAAAAGCATGCTTGCACTGTCTTATTATCATTCATTTGACACAAGGTTAACGGTAGTCTGCGTTGCCACTGCACAATACCAAAAACCGCCGGAAATTATAATCACCAATATGAAGCCAGGTAATTCATGCATAGCACATTGCATCTCGGTTTGAGAACTTCTTCAATCTCACAGTTCCATTATTATAATAGCTTACTACTCCAGTTACCGCCCTCGATATTTATAATTATATATTTTTACAGAAACTATGGTGCTGGTGGTGGTGCTGGTGGCGGTGGGGTGCTCGTCCGGCTGCTCCCTCCCACTTGGAAGACTCGGGGGACTATGTACCCTTATTACCAATCTGGTATCCACATGCGGCAAGATCCAATACCGGGCAATCCCCCGCATCCGGTCTAACCACTACGACGCAGCCTGAGGCGCCGCTTCGCCCCCGGTGCCGCCATCATCATCATCATAGGACTCCATTCCCCCCACACAAACCTGCACTTACATAACCTTTTCCTTGATACACTTACACAGAGCCCATGACTTCAATTCTTTTTAAATTATTCACTTGTTTCAATATATTTCTTACATTTTTATCTTTATTTACTTTTTAAGAAAAAGCGAATCATTGTTACAATCATTTTTATGTTCATGTACCTTTTATAGGCCTAAAGGCCCACAAAAAAGGAAGCCAATAAATCAATACAATACAATACAATACAATGCTAAGGTCCCCAGATGTCCCCACAGCTTCCGCGGCCACTGGCGAGGTTACATAAAATGCAGTTGAGACAATGACATGGAAAGTTACATTGATCTATTTATTACACTTACACAAAGAATATATATAAATGTTAAATTGCATAAATGTGTATGTATCTGTATATTTATTTAACTGAATTTCCATCTAGGTAGGTAAATGTAGTGTGCTACATATTCTGTTTATTTGCATAGATACCTCAATATATCGTTACATCACGTATATATCAATATGGGTAATTACATACTCTGTTAAAATTTCGCACAAGATCTATATGTGTATTAACACATACATATATATATCGTATATATTTTTAAGCTTATTCTTATATAAAAATGAAAATGAGCGTCGTGCCACAAATCACAACTTAAACTGACCTTAATCAAGATCTCTTTGCAATTAAGACATTGTAGAATTGTTTTACCAGCGTTATGTATTAGTAATTTGTGAGAAAACTGGTGTACCGTCTAGTCGGAAGAGTGATTAAAGCTTGACGTTGAACATACATATGTAAAATAATAATAATAATTAATAATAATAATATAATAATTTATAAAATAAAATACCACCACCATCCACCATCTGCTCAAAATAATATTATTTCTGCACAGAAAAATTCATAACGAAATTCTATTAGAATCAAAAATCATTTTGTTGTATCAGATTCAAATTAGCATTATAAAGGTGGTGGTGTGTCACTTCACAAAAATTGGTACCGTAATTACCTTGAGAAGGCAAAATTAGTAAAGCCTACATTCAGTCTACAGTCTGTAAAGGTTACTAACAACTGAGGGGTGAGCGACACAACTCCATCTGCCCTCCACACCCCCTGACCAGAAGCCAAATCTCCCAGGACTTTCCTTTTCGCCGAGGAGGTGAGCCCTGCGCCCAGTGGAACTGGCCTGAGTATGATCGACAAGTTCCATGTTCCTCAGCTCCTCGCACTGCTAGTGCATAAATTTGGCAAGTTATATTGCAATAATAGATAATTGTACGTGAAACCAAGGTCCGACCACTACTTCTTTATGTTTTCCACTGCTGCTGTGCGACCTTGGCAACAATGGATAATACAATCGACCCAATGGACGAGAATGTCACAATGGAATTAGTCTATAAAACGATAAAAGCCAATCACAATGACATTCTCACCAAGATTACATCAATAATGGAGACACAAAATCCAATCATAACTCGTTTAGACAATGTCGAGCGCAGTACCGACGAAATTAATGCTGACCACTCAGTGTTAAAGGATGAAGTTAACAACCTACAAGAAAAAATGCAAAATGATGTACATGAGGAAATCAGACGACTGCATAAACTACACAACCTGGTCATAATGGACCTCCCTGAAACCGATGATGGAATAAACCTTGCCCGAAAAATTATAGAAATTCTCCTCCCGCAATCTCACACCCAAATAGATATTGTCAAGAACCGAATACGAAAATCTGATCCTTTATCTGATCCCAGCAAACCACGACCTCTCGAAATAAATCTGAATAATCCGACCCAAAGTAAGACTGCTCTAAGCAACTGCAAGAAGCTTGCTGGCTACGAAGAATTTTGAAAGATTTCAGTTCGCCCTGATCTCACAATGTTACAACAAGAAACACACAGAAATACTAGAACACCAATACGTGCAAGGTCAACA